ATAACACACTGTCAAACTGTAAATATTTTATTACTCATAGTTATTTACTACAGGTGAGATTTTGCCAATAACTCCCTCCATATGTGTACAGTACACAATTATTTTCTTAAAAAAATTTTTTTTTTCATGTTCCAACGGTTGTAGTACATTGCTAGATACAAAACTGACTTACTACAGGTTAGATTTAGCCAATATCGCCCTTAGGGTATGTACAGTATGCAAATTTATATTAAAAAAAAAAACTACTACAGTAATTCGCCAAAAGGTTTTTTTTTTGTCATGTTCCAAAGGTTGTAGTATGCAGTGATGGGCAGTAGTGTCGCTACAAGTAGTGACGCTACTAGCTTAACTACATTTCTCAGTAGCGTGGTGGTAGCATCGCTGGTTTCTTAATCAAATAGCTTTTCAGTAGCGAAGCTCTTTTTTTTATCAAGTAGCGCGGTAGCGTCAACAAAAGCTACATCATTCAAAACATTCTGAAGCTCAAGCTCAAATCAGAAATATAACTGCTAAGGATCACTTATCCTGAACCAGTAAAAGTGACTCCACTGCCGCTAAACCTCGTATCTCCATTGGCTCCTCAAACTGTCAGTCAAACCTCATTAATCCTCCCACCTCTCTTGTGAATGAAGTGCGACGCGCAGTTTGGAGCATCTCAGCTTGTTTGCAGTCTGAAGGTAAATAAAATAAGCATAACAGTCATAACAGTGAAAGCTAACACCGTGTTTCCTGATGATATCTCCCAAGGGTAACATGTAAAGTAACGGCCCGTGGGCAGCCATTTTTGCTGCGGCGCCCGGGGAGCAGTTGGGGGTTCGGTGCCTTGCTCAAGGGCACCTCAGTCATGGTATTGAGGGTGGAAGTAATACTACTAAGACTGATTCCAAGGAAATTATAAGTAGGCTGGCCTCTATGAGGTTAAGTGTTCCAGATCATGTTAAGAATCTGGGTGTTATAATAGATTCGGCTTTAGTTTTTGATAAACAGGTTACTAGTGTTGTGAAGGCTGCATTTTATCAACTCAGAATTATTTCTAAGCTGAAATCAATTCTCTCGTTTAAGGACCTGGAGACTGTTATTCATACTTTTGTATCATCACGCATTGATTATTGTAATTCTTTATATATATAGCCAAGTCAAGTCAAGTCACCTTTATTTGTATAGCGCTTTATACAATACTGGTTGTGTCAAAGCAGCTTTACAAAGTCAAACAGGTGATTTAACAAGTTTATACAAATCTTCCTCTCCTATAGTACAGAATGAGTGGAATTTTTCCTCAGGCGATCTATAGCACACTATCTGATGCGGTACTGTAGCTGACGGCTGCATGGTTACAATTTTATCTCTAATAGTATCGATCTTGGAAGTAAAGTAGTTCATAAAGTCATTATTGCTGTGCTGTTGGGAAATGTCAACACCTGTTGATGCTTTATTTTTCGTAAATTTAGCCACTGTATTGAATAAATACTTGGGGTTATGTTTATTTTCTTCTAAAAGAGACGAAAAGTAATCAGATCTAGCAGTTTTTAGTGCTTTTCTGTAGGATAGGTTACTTTCCCGCCAAGCAATATGAAATACCTCTAGTTTTGTTTTCCTCCAGCTGCGCTCCATTTTCCGGGCTGCTCTCTTTAGGGTGCGAGTGTGCTCATTATACCACGGTGTCAGACTGTTTTCCTTAACCTTCCTTAAGCGTAAAGGAGCAACCGTATAGCATCCACTATCCAGTGAGAGTCTCTGCTTCTTAACTGGCAGCCCTTTAGAGCGGCCTCCGAAGCACACAAAGAGCTGCTCTGAGTGTGTAAACAGCCCAGAGTGCTCGACATACACTCTAAGAGCCCAAACCGGGCAAAGTGGATTGGGACCCTGTTCACCAACTGGATTGGAGAGGGCTAGAAGGGTGATGACTTGTGCTCTAAACGGAGTGGAGAGCACTTTCAGCACATAGCCATGTCTCGGTTTGAGGACGACTCTGCAGTCATTAGGCCCAAACTCAAGACTGGAAGCACTGACTGACAGTTCTTGCAGGTCACCCACTCACTTGAACGATGCTAAAGCCAAAAGGAGGGTGGTCTTAAGCAACAGGGGCCGCAAGTCAGCCGACTGGGAGGGCCCCATTGAGCCCTGAGGACTATAGATAAGCCCCAAGTCGGCACAGTATGAGGGTGAGGCGGATTCAATCTCCGAGCTCCCCTCAGAAACTTAAACTTGACCAAGTTGTTTCTGCTGACTGACTGGCCAGCCATAAGAGAATGATTAGATGGCTGTCACATATACTTTCATGGAAGGGGTGCGCCCCTTATCCAGCAGCTCTATAGAAAGGTTAGCACATGGGACATGTCACAAGAGGATGGGACCTCGTTCCGTGCTGCACACCAGTCAGAGAAGACTGACAATTTAAGGGCATAAAGACCTCTTGTCGATGGATATCTAGCCTCCAAAATAGTATTAGTTGAACTCGCAGGGATCTGCAAAGACTCCCATTGAGGGGCCAAACATGAAGGTTCCACAGCTCTGGCCGGGGTTGCCAAATCTGCCCATAAAAGGAGGCATTGAGCCAACCTATGAAGGGAGTGTGAACTGAGACCGCCTTGGTGATTGATAAAGGCTACCATCGTCATTTTGTCCAAACAGACCAGGACGTGCCGGAAGTTTTTTAGGGCCGGCCGGAAGTTTTTTAGGGCCAGAAAAACTGCCATCATCTTGAGGCAGTTGATGTGTAAGCGCCGCTCCAGGTTTGACCAGGAGCTGGACGCCGGTCTGCCCTCATTCAGAGCTCCCCAACCCGAGTTGGAGGCATCTGTCATGACCACCTTCCTTCTGGAGGTCAGTCCCAATGGGACGCCTGATAGAAATAGGCGAGAGGTTTTCCAAGGGGCCACGGGTCTGATGCAGCAATGGGTTACCCTGAGATGAAAAAGTCCCAGGCGTCAAGCGTGGAACAGGACATGGGCTTTGAGCCAGTACTGAAGAGGCCGCATGTTGACCAGGCCCAAAGAAATCACAGAGGATGCGGCCAACATGAGGCCGAGCATCCTCTAGAAAGCCATGAGGGGATGCGAAGTCCCTAATTTGATGATGTCGCTAGTCTCTGAACAGTCAGGGAGCATTCTGGCGTAATCCATGCCTGCATTCAGACAGAATCTACATAACTTACTGTTATGTAAATAACTGTAAATGTTATGCTGGTTATCAATTTCAGAAGTTGCCCATGGTCACAAGCCTGATCTAGGCAACATGAAAACTAGGCCACACACCTCCTACAAATTGGTTTTCATGCTGTCTGTTTGCCATCATTGCTGCACATGGCCCAGATTTGGCTAAAGGGATGCATGCCACTGCCAAAGGGGTCAAAATAAGTTTTAGCAACTTAAAAAATGCATCCTTAACATCATTTTTCAATTTAAATGAAGCTGTCATAATGTAATTTATGCAACAGTTCCGCATTTCGAAGAGCAAGTACTTAGTGCACTTTGAACGATTCATTGGTTTCACTGGTTTTTAATACAGTTGAAGTGTATTACAAATATTACAATACAATGAATTATAATTTGTGTACATCTCAAAGTGTGTACTGATCTTGAATAAGCTCAAATGAAAGAAGCAAAATGGTAAAACAGATGTGCTCTGACTGAGTCAAATCAGGCAAATCTTTTTAATGTAACTGATGATATTCTTAGCATTAAACTACTTGTCACAAGCTGATTGGTTTATGTTGCATATGGAGCCAATGAGCTTGCTGCTTTACATTTAAATGGCTGATTAGCATTCGCTTGAGCATTGCAGCGCACTTTCAGAGTTCCTCTGAAACCCTCCACCTTCCCCAGCTCCACCTGTATAGATCTGCTACGGGTTATTTTATATGCTATTTGTGCAGTAGCAGTATGTCTTTAATACTCACAGCACCATATCGGCTTATGTATTGGCAGTATCAAGTTCCTGTACTTGCTTGCAGCAGCAGCGTAGCAGATCTATTCCGCCAAGACCAAATACATTAACACTGTCATATCCATTACCATGCTAAAATTTTCCCAGAATTATCATGATAGAAATATTTTTTACTTTAACATTGTGCTAGAACAGCTGCCTTTGTTCTTCTGACTGCTTGCTTGTCTTTTTCATGTTTTTCATACTTTATACTTATATTTTGTCATATTTTGTCCCATTTTTAATTAATGGATATTATGCAGTGTTACATATTTTGATTTAATATAATTGTAAATAGTAAACAGTGTTTGGGTTTATATGCAGTTTATTTGAACATCATATATCATTTTCACCAGGAAATAATTTGTACATTTTTATGGTAGTGCACATAATGGTAATGTAACCCTTCCAACTTTTAATAAATTGTGTCATTTTGTGTCAATAGACATCTGCTTGTTTATTTTACACCCAAGACAAAACACCAGTAGGGGGCCATGGGTCTTTTGATTATTTTTTTAGAGGGCCTTATTCCTCTAATGTTTGTTGTGTTTGCTTCTTAAGAAAAACATGCATCACTTGCAGAATTTTAAACTTAATTAACCCCAGCAGCCATCATCAAAAGCAAAACATCATTCTGGAGCGAGGCGCTTCTATTACCCTGCCCCTCTACTCTCATGGTGCAAACACATGCATAATCATATTATTGCATATATCTCACAAAGTTTGGGAAGGTCTGTAATACAGAATATGATGATGTATATGGGTTTTGTCTAAAATGAAACTATGATAGCATTAATACAATGATAAGAAAAAGTTAAGTTAGTTTAAATGCAAACTTTTATATTTCCTTCAGAAACTTTATTTTAGTTTATCCTGCTACCAGAGCTAACAAGCCCAACCCTGTAACTAACACAACATTTAGGTAAAAACACCTGTTTTGAAACCTGTTTGTAGAAATTCAATAAAATTATAGTCAAATAACAAAATCATTGATAAATACTGATAATGGGGCAATCATGTATCCAATCCTAACAACACCTGAAGCATCATGTCTTGGTTTGTTCATTGTGTTATAGAGCCGTGCCCCCAGCTGAATGCTCATCTACCTCTATTCCTTTAACTGGAGATAAACAGACTGATGATGATATAGAGGCCTTCATCAGAGCCAGACACAACCTGCTCAACAGCACAGGTATTATTTACACACACACACACACATGTGTTTTACTATCCTTATGGGGACTCTCCATAGGCGTAATGGTGTTTACAGTATACTGTACAAACCGTATATTCTATCGTCCTACACCAAGCCATCACAGAAAACCTTCTGCATTTTTACATTCTCAAAAAACTCATTCTGTATGATGTATAAGCTTGTTTCCCCATGGGGACCTCAATTTAGGTCCCCATGGTGACAAGAGTCACCTTGAGTCAGTGTGTATTCAGGTTTAAGTCCCCACCAGGATAGAAAAACATGTACACACACACACACATAAACACACAAACAAACACACACACACATACATTGACCTAAGGAAACATTTTAATTATTAAAAATATTTAAATATTAAAATGTATGAAGTAATAAACTTTGGGTTTAACAGGTGAGTGCATAAGTAAACAACTGTCACAAATGGAAAGAGACTTGATTTAAACATCTGAAAAATTCAGTTGAATCATTTGAAAGGGTATTTACAAAAAAAATAATAAAACTGGTTAGCCACAATATATTATTTTACTAAGGATATTCAGGATATATCACATATAGCATATAGTTTAGTTAAAGTATACTAGCTGCTAATGATCTCAGTGCTTTTAGTGTTCATGGTGTAAGTTGAATTAAAAGGGCACGTTGGACAAATAATTTTAACCACAAAATGTTAAACCAAAAATACTATAGAATTTCTACCCGCAACAGCAAACTTCCATCAGTCTATTCCCACATCACTTGTCCTGTGTAGGGTAATAGGAATAGCTGTATCCCTAAAAAGAGTTACAGGTGTGATACTAACCTTCATGACTGTAAATCTCTGTTTCACAGTGATATCATCTAATGATATGATATTACTTTGGGGCATATGGAGGTTACTGATATATTGTACATCATCACATATGACTGTGCTTACATATCTTGACGAGATGAACACTCTTTACTATATTTTAGGTAACACTTTAGTTTAGGGACCAAATCTCACTATTACCTAGTTGTTTATTAGTATGTGTATTTCTAGTATACTGGCTGTTTATTAGCACTTATAAAGCACATATTAATGCCTTATTCTGCATGACCATATTTTAGCTCCCTTGACCCTATCCCATACTTAAACTTAACAACTACCTTATTAACTATTAATAAGCAAACAAAATAGTTAATAGTGTGAATTGGACCTTAAAATAAAATGTTACCATATTTTCTCTCAGTCACCTGAAGGACATTGCTGCCATTGCATTTACATATGTTTGACCAGCAGGTGTCCTCAATGTGAAGTGTTTTGATCAGTTTTTCAGAATTGGCCTGAGGGAAGAAACTGTTCCTGTGTCTGGCCGTTCTGGTGCCTTTTGCCTTTTGATGGCAAAGGCAAATAAACAAAGTACATAAAACACAAATTATTTTGATAACAACAGTAAAGGTAAAAGCAAATGTACAACGATCAGTAAAAGCTGTCATGGTGTTTTATCAATGGTGGTGTGATTTCATTGGCAGTGGTAGGTGAGGTCATTGGAGTGAGACAGGAGCAAATCTCTTACAGCATGGATGACCAATGACAGTTATCTAAGAAAGTCTAAATAAAATAGATACCACAACAGATACCACACAAAGATGTATTAAATAAAAGTAATATTATATTTAATCAAATAATTAAATGTATATATTTTTTATTGATTTAGATGTTATCATATAAGGCAGAGGCAACTCTTTTAACTTTCTACTGTGTCTAAAAGGTTTCCAAGTGGCTTCTCAGATAAACCTGGTAAATAAATCAATTTAAAATTGACATACATCAAATCATGAGAAATCATCATTTCATCGTACTTTCAAAGTTATGTGATGTTTGCCTTCTCTACAGTACACTTTGTGGCATATAGATGGCCTTAATGTTTCTAACCTGATTTGATCATTATAATGTCTCTTTGTTTCAGGAGTGGCAAAATAAGAACAGTTATAGATAAGAACAGAGGAGGACAAACAATGAAAAGTCACACATTTCTGCAAAACTCTGGGCCAGGTAGATCATTAAAGGACACCTTAATGACTCTTAAACATGTCAAAACCCTCATGTCACTGGCTCAGAAGGAGACACTGGCACACTGACAAATATAACAGCATCAATTTATATTACATATGTCCATTTACAACCTGGCTGGTTATTGATCTGTTCTGTTACCTTTTAGTGGAAAACTTGCTGAAATGAGGAGATCAATTTAAGGGTAATGTAGTTGCATAGCAACCAAATAAATCATTGGTAAAGGCACTTGAACAAATGTTTAGTTTTTACAAGCTATCATAAAGTGTTAACCTGATCAAAGCTCTGTCTCCCTGCCTAACACAATATAATCGTATTCACATAGTGGTGAAATCATATCCTTTGTTTGATTGTTTGTTTGTTGACACTATCATTTATTGTCTTGTATATATACAAGTTCTTCTGTAAAATAATGTCTGTTTCTTGTTGTTTTATGTTCTTTGGTCCGTTATAAAGCTGTTGATAAAATCTTTTTGGTCATTTCGCTATTTATTTCGCTGTTTTATGACATGTTGAACTACACCCGACTTTGAGTCATTCACATTAAATGCCTGTAGTTTTTTTTTTTTTTTTTTGAGGTGTAAAAAGATTATTTTTTCAATCAATGGTAAATTGGTCTTTTCTGCTTAGAGCCTCTTTTGGGAGAATGCAAGTGGAGTTGAGATATTTTTTCAAGAACTTATTTAACAGTGAACAAATGCTCATACGTGTTCTATAAACACCAGTATTTACAATTTATAAAGAGTTATATTTCATAGATGCAATATACAATAAATGCTATTTTAGATATTCCAAATTGTAGTCTTTAATTTGTTAATAGCAACCATTTGACATTTCTCTGCTCAAAAATCTTAAGACTGAGATCTGGTCATTTTTGTTTTATGATGCACTATTTTGCATGACTATGAATAGATTTGTTTGAGCAATGAGGTTCTGAGCAGTAATTTGCATAAGGGAGCAGCACTTTCTTTCATCAGATTGAACAGGCGTAAAGTGGCCTTTCTTTGCTTCCTATATTCTGGAATATTCCAGCAATGTACAGTACAGATCACGTGTCAATACATATAATGTTTATAAAATTATATGATGATTGTGTACAATAACATGGTAATTTATAAGGTTGCTCAATCTCAATTTAATTAGACATTGTAATGTAAAATCTGGGAACAGAACCAGCTGTTCTGTTCATTTCTAAGTTTTAGACAAATTAATAAAACAGTTTTATTAGGCTTAACATTGATTATATTAGGACATCTTAATTGTAAAATAATTCAGTATATACAGGCAATAAGTCACACATATCAAACATTTTTCAAATTACATTAATGGTAGCAGACCCTTGACTCTCAAAACTGCTCCATTATTTTATTATTTATTCATTTATTTATTTTAGAGCCTTGGTGTCTGAGACATTTTATGCTTGGAATATCTTCTTTAGAGGCAAAACATCAACCACTATGGCTCACTTTATTGCATGATGTATTATTGGATGGTTGATATCACAGGAAGCAATGTTCTACTCAAACAGTGCATGGTATCAAACATCCACTTAGATTCTACCAGACCAATGAGGAATCATTCCATATTTCTCTTCATACTATGGAGCATTTCAATTGCTGTACAGAATGTTCTCAATGACACATTTTATTTTAGGAATACTTAGCTGATGGATTCAGCAACATAGCTGATGACGATTAGAAAGAAACCTCTGTAAATAATCTAATTATCTAGTTGAATTCATTTGCCATTACTTTAATAACCCATGGACAACCATTTTGTGCACAATTAATGATACAGTCCTAATATATTACCTGTAATATCCATGGGAAACAATCTGTTGCTAGAAGATTTTTCAATATTTAATAAATTTTCAGAGTAATGGATATTTGACTGAATCTGATTTACAGTGGTCCAAAAGGTATTGCTGAGTGTGTGTGTGTTTTTTAAAGCATAGGGTACAGCTCATGTTAGACGTTAAAGGGGTCATATGATACGATTTAAGAAGGCGTAACTTTGATTCTCGCTGTAGTATTGTTGTCGTGGAGACGCTGTGTTGCGAAAGCAAAAATACTTTGTTTGGTCTTCCAAAAGAGGACACAACTAGAAATCAGTGGTTAAGTTGTATTTACAACACTGTTCCAGAACAGTTTAAACCAAATATTCAGATGTGTGCAGCGCATTTTACGAAGGATTGCTTCCTGAACCAGGGAGAGTAGCCTACAATGCCAGCTGTTCTGACTCACAGCCTGTAAGTATGTTTTCATATTTAAAGAATTTGCCACTGACTATTCAAATGCGAGTTTTGAGCATTTTAGAGTACCGCTTGTTGTTTGTTGTTTCTCCGTTCACAAATGCGGACATGTTTTATGCAACGCAATGCGTAAAAAGACAGTATAAGTCATTATAATCAGTAATTATGTTTCCACTGGATGCAACAGATGCCTCGTTTATAATAATGGGTTTTATTGTTTTTGTCTCGTCGCACTAGGACACGGCAATAAAATATGGTAAGGGGCGTAACATTTCTGTCACACGCTTGAGGTATTCGGCCAATCACAACGCACTGGATAGCTGGCCAATCACAGC